CATGAAAAGTCTATCGATGGATACATATTTTCTCAATTATTTTAGGTGAAGAAAAGACAAGCACTTCAGGGATAATAGCAGCAATACAAAACTGCGCAAAATACCAATTGACATGAGTCGGCTGTATAAATTTTTATGTAAAGAAACGCACTGCAAAAAGAAACATGCATCTTCGAAGATACCTCAGCTCTGCTATCTAATTAACCGCTTCACAAATTTCCCTGTACACTTCTTATGCTTGCGTCCAAGATAGGCACGGCTCCCACGAAAGTGCACAAGATTCCTTCGTGCGAGTAACCGCAGTGTTCTTTAGGTAGATTTATTTGCATTCCGTACAAGTAGAGCTGTCGCTTTTGCTCGTGCAAAATTTTTTTAATGTCAATGATCTCCTCTGTGCCAAAAGCCCGGGAATTCTCAGTTGTGAACTGATCCTTTGTTGTCATACATCTCAGGCCCGGGCTTAATAAAGTCATTCAAGGAAGGACGTAGCTAAACTACAAATTTCAAACACAGGATTTCGTGACGTTGGATATCATTTTTATAGTTGTGAAATTTGTATTCAAATCGTTCAACTGACAGTTCCCATAGGCAACCCCAAAATAAACAATCCCCAAAAATCTAAAGTGAAATTGGTTTATCGTCGTGAACAGTTAGAAGCTAGAGCCAGGTTCCATTACCTTTAAGAAAGTGCTTGATTTTATTTGTTTGCGTCGACTATCTTCATTTAGTATTTCTTACTGTACATGTCACGTTCGAATACCGCGAATAGGTTACGCCAAAACGCAGACCACGCAGACTACAGAGCGTGCAGGCTGAATACTTTTCTTTCTTACACTTGCTTGCGCCTTTACTTATGACTCGCATTTTATGGCTCTGAGTAATGGTTCCTGCTGACGGACAGATTAGAAACACCCGAAATGCAGGCCAGTTTATGCAAACCGACATGTCTGTAAACTAAAAAACTACTTCTTGTTGCTAATTGAAGGTGGACCTTTCACGGTTGACAAGTACACTGATATCGATAAGCCATAACAAAAATAAGATGAAAATACTCAATTCTAAGCCAACAATGAATATAGGACTTCAGCTGGAGCTGGAAAGAGGTCTTTAGGTCAGCTGAAGCGGGCAAGTTTCCACGAAAAGTTGAAAAAAATCATGTGGCGTTGAACATAGAAAAAGAAAGACAATTGTAATTTGGACATGAATAT